ATGGTAGAAACTGTAAAGCTAAGTTACTCTATATATATACTTTCGATCAATGGAAAAGCTCATAATGAGCGATTTTCCAAAACCCTATATGTGTTGTATTTGGTTTCTTCTCACACTCCACCGACATCCCTTTCCTGATCATCGCTTCTAGGTTCTGCCGCTCTCTCTCCCTCCCCCTCAATTTCATGTCTGATACTGCGCCGAATGGGTTCATGGCATGCGGCGAGTGATACCAACACCTCTTATATACCTGTGCACCTCTTCTATACCTCCTACTCTACCCTAGCTAGTAGCTCCCCCGAAACTCCCAAACACTTGTCATTTATCAATTTGGGCTTACTTTTCATGGAAACGGAGATGCCATGCGGCCCAAAGAATCTCCTACGATTCAATGGCCCTAGGTTAGCCCAAGTCACAAGGTCGGCCAACTTGATTGGACTAATTTTGGTTTGCGGCCCACTTGAACTACTCCAATTTGACTATTTGAGTTCTCGTATCTAACTACTAATCAAACCATATATTTATTATCGGTCGAATGTAAACCCAAATAACACTAAATGAAAAAAATAGGGTGTAACAAATGCAATGAGAGAAAATGGAAATTTTTTTCAAATCATTGAAAACAAGGGTTAATTGCATGATTGGTGACTGAGATTATGAAAAACGTTAATATTTGGTCACTCAAAATATTTAAATCCATTCACAGTCACTAGATTTAGTAAAACAATTCAAGTTTGGTCACTCTCCGGCAAACTCCGTTAACTTTGGCCGATGTGGTAGTCAACTCTCATGGTTGACCGTTAGATATGTTGACGTGACAATTAAAAATTATAAAAAATTAAAATTGAATCAATTTACAATTTTTCACCTCATTTTTACAACTATTCAAAAAACCCCCTAATTTTTATTCCCTCACGACAAACATCCTCCTCTCATACCTTATCCCACCAAAACAAGAAATTGACCAGACATCTCACATAAAGATCACACAAATGAAAAGTATAGTTCTTGTAAAGAATAGCTTCATAAAATTGATTTCAATGCCTTTAATTCGATTCTAATTCTCGAGCATACTTCTGATGCGGAATCGCCGCGCAAGCGTGGGCGGAAGACGGAATTGAGGAGAAATGTTGGAAGCGGCGGTGGGCGGCGACTGTACGTGGGCAACAGATCGTGCCGCCCACGTGCTAGCACGGCATAATTAGAGTACGGCACGAGAACGGGCACGAAATAAATGGGCCAGCTCGGCACGAGCACCAATAATTTATGGGTTGTGCCGGGCCTAAACTTCATAGGCACGAGCACGGGCACGGCACGGTATATAAGTGGGCCGTGTCGGGCCTAATATTTTCGAAACTTTATTGATTATAAAAACGGACATGACATGAAAATAATATTTATTTGATAGAAAATAAATATAAAAATAATTATATGTTCAAATATTACAAAAATACAAGTACAAAAAGAATTGTTTGTTGCTATTAGAAGTGTCATAAAGATATATACGTAATTACTACCATAAGTAAAAATGGAAGAAGAATTAAACAAAGTCAAATCACACTCGCTATACTTCCAATTTTCTTTTCCTCTTTATTTGTTACTTTTCTCAAAACATTATCAGTTAATACTATCTTTCTCTGTCCAATTTTCACATTCTTTTTCATTCTCTCTTTTGTTTTCTTCATTTTCATTAAATACGAATACGAGCATGGCACGAGCACGAATAGGCACGGCACGATTCGAACCGTGCCCGGACTTGGCTCGGGCCTAGCAAAGTTAACAAATGAGCGTACCCGTGCCGTTCCGGCCCAAGCACGGCCCAACGCCCATGTACAACGGCGACTATGGCAAATGCTTTGTTGAGACCTGGAAGGTAAAGGGTTTTTTCCCCAATCTGGAACTTACTAAGCATTTCTTATCCACAACCACCCCCTCCCCAACATCGGATCAAAGCAAAAATGAACAACAAGATGGGATGCGGCGACGGTGGTGGTGACGAGGTGGGAGAGGACGTCAGGTGTAGGTGGGGCAGCAGAAGAGGGAGTAGAGGCCAAGACGGAGGCGGAGGAAGAGAGAGGAGGAGCGGAAGAAAAAGGCTGGGGCTGTGAGTCCATGCGGCGAAAAAGAAGTAACGGAGGTGGAGTTGTAAATTAGTGAGGTTTAGGAGTTAAAAGTAATAATTTTTATTTTTATTTTAGTGGTAGTGAAAATGAGGTGGAAATTCTGAATTTTATTTTTTAAGTTTTTTAATTGCCACGTCATACATTTAACGGTCAACTATAAGAGTTGACTGTCATATCAGACAAAGTTAACGGAGTTGAACGGAGAGTGACCAAACTTAAATTGTTTTACTAAATCTAGTGACTATGAATGGATTCAAATATTTCGAGTAACCAAACTTGAACGACCAATCATGCAATTAACCCTTGAAAATAATGAATCCAAATGGGGGAACAGATTTTGGGCCAGCCAAACCCTATAGAAGAAAACCTTACACCTGAACAAGGGTCTAATTTTACGAACAAGGGCTTGGTCTAGTGGTAATACCACTAGCCTAGAACTTGGAGGTCTCAGGTTCGAATTCCTTAAGTAGTACCTTATAAAAAAAAATCTATATCACCCTTATAAAAAAAACAAGGGTCAACCATCCAAACTAGGGGTGGAAATTGGGATGGGTGTGGTTACCCGCCCCACATTTTGCGGGTAACCACACCCACAAATATAGAATTATGCTACCCACAACCCGCCCCGCAGTGGTAGTGGTTAACCACTACCCGTTGCGGGTTGGTGCGGGTTGGTTGTGGATACCCACAAAAATGTCACATTAAATATAATAATATGGTCATTGAATAGTGATGTGTTTCTTCTCACACAAAAATAAAAACATACATAAAAGAAAGTTAATAAAGTGTTAAATAAATTATAAATCTCGAATACAATAGGTTAGTTAGTGTAAATTCAAAAGAGATGGATTTGGAAAGAGATTTGAAGATAACAGGGAGGCGGAGTGACCTTTTACCAGAGAAACATCGTTGCAAGTCATGGCTCCTCCGATGGCAACAACAGCAAAACACAAAAGTGCCTCGATAAGTGGAGGCGTCCGCTTTTAATGAATCGATTATTCTCCACTCTCGATTATAGTCTTGTATTGTTGGTAGCTGGTTGCATGTTGTGTTGTTCGTGAGTTCGTGGAGAAATGGAGATGAGTTTGGTATTAGACTAACCTTTATCGATTATTCCCATCATTTAATGAATCGATTAATTTATCTGACTATATCTATGGACTTGGTTTTGTTATAAAATAAACATATACCGTACGAACAAGGCTTATTTGATAAAAGTATCTCACTTGAACATTGCATATTAACTTGATTTTGTTTTATAGAATAAGTGTGTATTTGATTTTGGTAGCTACTTTAATTCTTAGTCTTCCAAGTTTCAGAAACTAATATAACTAATGTGGTTAATGTGGGTTACCAAGTATTTTGAAGAAATAAATATAACTAACGTGGTTTTGTGGGTAAACCGCTGTGGGTAGTGGTTAACCGCTAACCACAAAATCAATATTTTGCTACCCACACCCAACCCACTATCCACAAATTATGGGTATAGATATCCACAAAGTGTGCGGTTTGGTGCAGTTTGCAGATTACCCGCAATCCGCAAACCAAACTTCCACCCCTAATCCAAACCACATAAATGAAATGCAAAGCCAACACAAATGGGCCGGAAAGAGAAACCCTAACAACCTAATCAATCTTCTGCGCAAGAGAGCAGCGGCCGCCCCAAGGAATCCCACACCATCAATAGAAAAGCACAAGACGCCAACGACAAAGAGGATGTGACAAACCAAGACTGAAATCGCTGAAACTCCAGAGACAAACCGAAACAAAGATAGATACCTCCATCACAGCGGAAACACATGTAGCAAGACGATTGATAAGAGGCTCAAGTGGATCTCACTATCGAGCTTCTTAGAGCTACAACCACGAAAAGATCACAATAGGATTCACAATTCTTCTCCAAAACACCTAAACAGGCAGGTGAAACAAGGAGGAGCAGAAACAAGGAGGAGAAAGCAGGTTAAGTGAATGTTAACCTCTTCTATTACCATTAAACCATCTCGACAACAAATCTGAAACGAGGAAGAAGAGGAAGCCATCTTCAAGAGAGGCCCAGAATGCAGAGAAAGAAACAGACAAATGGAAGGTAATAAGAAGCTAAACGAAGAAAAACAAAGGGGTGGGGCTACCGACGGCAGCCCATTACAGTATGAAAATTAGAGAGAAGGCAGAGGATTAAAATTGTAGAGAGAGGAGCTCAAGAGGGACCAAAATCAAAATCAAGCGAATGCCACCTGGGAAAAACATAAAGTAGAAAACAACAAAACCCAAAGCGAAGCCGAGTTTAACGAATAACGAATGATAGATTTCACCCAACATTCAGGCTGTATATATACATCCACAGCACAAACTATAACAATCTCTAGTTTACAGAGCAAGGAAACAAATGATACTGGTGTACACTCTCTAATACCACAATCCTGTACACAGAAAACTCTAGTCAATTATCCCAGTGAGTTCAGTGAAACTAACCAAACAAAGAAAAAGGACAGCCAGTAACAATTTTACAAGTTCACATTAGCTGTTGTTACGAGGCTTGGGAAGACAGACATTGATTCAGCATCACAGCTAGAACCTCAAATGCGTTCCCCTCGTAGCACTTCCACCACCGTCCTGATGTCTAAACTAGGAAGGGATCCAGTGGCTCCAATCACTTATGAATATGATGCAAGATATCAGCTAGCTAGTGCGAACAAACAAACCTTAACAGAAATCAATAACCTTGAACAATCTTATGACAATCAAGTGCTACAAACAAGAAGAACCTAATGGGCATTCCTCTTCAACAATCCATCCAAGGTAGACAATAGGCATGAACCTGTGGCCTAATTATGCAGCAGACTCTACTTTTAGAGGGACGATGAATCTCCAATTTTGTCATATATAGACCGGCTTCACATCGTTTTGTCCAAAACTTGCAGCACAAACAGGACACTTGCGATGACGACTTTCGGTGACTTTTTGAACACAAGGGTTGCAGAACAAGTGATAGCATTTTGTGATGACAACCTGAGATGAAAGATATTACGCCAAGTCAATTGCCTCAACATTGTTACAATGCTACTTTATATAAGGGAGGATCACAAGCAAAAAGAGGGTGCTTGGAAGCGCATGTTTTGAGGCTATGTGCAACCGGTCCAACAACCACAGAGAACCTGTTCTCCCTTGTTGCAAATATCACAAGGTTTTAAGAAGAAAAATTAAATTTATTACACTGCGAATCTGGAAGCAGTGTACGTAGTTATCCAAGATAAACAGCCCTCTATACTTAATTTCACAATTTCTAGCTATTACAAAAGACTTCTCCAGTCACAGGAGAAAAAAGAGACCATTTAGAGACACCAAAGAGATCAACCCTAGGATTTAGTATGAAGCCAAGCCCACATAACACATCAGACTAGACACATAACACAATGCCAGAGAGGGACTGTCTTGGCTGTAAATGGAAAAGTAAAGCGCCTCTAAAGTGATTGCTTAGAATGTTGAAACAAAACCTGCTATAGAGTGAACCAAGAGGTAAGGGACAGTAATTCACCTCTTTGGGTCTGTCATGGCAGACACCGCACTTCACTATTTCTCTGTATTCTCTTAGTTCCCGTCGAAGCTTCTCCAAGATAGATGAACGCTCTAGCTCATCTCTAAGGCATGAAAGCTTTCTTCTTGATATTTCTAATTCCTCCTCTCTTCTTCTCTTCTCAAATCTGATCCATGATAAGTATACATTAATGGTTGGGCTTCATATGGGATTACAAACAAATGGAAGATCAAAGTTTCTTCACCTCTCTTTTTCCACATGTATTTGCAGCTCAGCCAGAGTCATTCGCCTCTCCTCAACTTTAGATTGTGAGCCATCAAGCACTTCCCTCCCTTGCTTAGCTGATCTCCTTATATCTTGCAATCTTTTCTGCACATTCTCTAATGTGACTAAATTCTCAAATTTGTCTCCAACAAGCTTCTGAACCTGATCAGAAGAGCTTTTTAACTGCAAGGAAATTTGCCACAATTAAAAGACAGAATCACATACATCTCAATCTCCTGCTAAAAAGAGCCCGAGCAGCACCTGGTCTTCAATTTTTGCAGCCTTGACCTTGTAAAAGTCAAGAGAAACTTTGGCTTGCTTCATTCCCCTTTCCAGGGATAACTTGTCAGTCGTTAGAGAGTCATGCAGCTGTCTTGCTCGCACACCCTCCAGCACAAGCTGAAAAAGATTAACCATATTAACAGATGGTGCCTTCAACCACAAGATGAAACGTGACATCTTTTATAAATTGGTCGGATGCACACATGAACTGGATGGTCAATAAGCACACTGCACGACAAACACCATCATTCATAACCTTCAATAGTCAAATGACAATATTATTTGCATTCCTCACAATTACATCCAAATCTTCCAGAAGTGAACTCCCAGGCCAGCACATCATTTTAATATAATTCGCACGGACTATTGGCCATAAACTCAAACCCCATGGTACTTGGCACATAGGAAAACAGTAAATGCCTCAAAAGCTCAAACAACGTTTACGGCTACAAGCCTTTTGATATGTGCAAAAAAAAAAAAAACAAGGGTAGTAAAATAGGAAGTTTAGGTATATCCATTTCAGAGAAGAAGACCAAGAGTTCCAACACCTAAGAAAGCCCACCGCACCTAGACCATACTTAGAAGAAGTAAATTATATAGAACCAGCGCCTGCTAATAGAAATAAGTCAATCTAGTGAAATATGCATAATTTACCATGTTCATACAGCTCTATGAACACTGACTAATCATCATTAGAGTCACAACAGTGAAGATGAACACATAACTAACATTGAAATCATATTCTTTGCTGAGGCAACATGCCAATCACCCACATTAAAAAATCAAAAGTTTCTAATCATCTGTGGGGCAAACAAAGCATAATTACGGGTCAGGCACAGATGAACCAGTGTTCTGCTAAAAAGCTAAGCTACAGATGCAAATTACCTTGATGTTATAATCATCTCGCTCAGTGACTTGCTGCAAAAGATGTTGGTTTTGGGTTTGCATGTCATCATAGGCTTGTCCAATAGTCTGCAACAGATGAAAGAAAAAATGTTGACAGAGACATGACCTTGCACAGAAGATAATGCAGGAAACATTGGACTGAGAAAATTACCTCTATTTCGGATAAATACGCTTCATTTTCTTCACTTTTGGCTTTGAAGACATCACAAAGCTTGGACATTTCCCTGCAATAACAATAGCTTCGAATACCTCAGTACTTTTCATTTCAAATCAAGAAAGTTATCAAGGAGCAATATCTCATTGTCGTAACAACCACAACAAAATAGAACCGATCAAAAAGTTACAAATTCATCCGCATGGACTGAATTAAATTTCACCTTGTTAGAACAGGTTCACATCTGGTTATATTCTTCTTTCTCAACTAAACAACTACTGCAAAGACTCTGAAACAATCTAGAAGTGCATCATGATGCATGAAAAGAGAATGTAATCTTCAAACGTAGTTTCTTTACCGGGCCCTTCCTCAACAAGAACAGAACAGACTCGAAAGAGATCTCTAAATCACACATTCACAGACAAGAACAAGTAGAGTAGGACTAAATCAACAATTCACTTTTCTGCAAGACAATCATAAGTCTAACCTTTTGGAACTTTCCAATTTCTCTCTCGAGTCGGCAATCTCAGCTTCTGCAGCAGCCAGCTTCTGCTGTGTGATCGCCTCAACTTCAATTGCAGTCTTAACACGTAATTCCAAGTTCTGCTCATCAAGAGATAACTTCAAGCTTTCAACTTGAGCCCACGCCTGGTATTCCGAATCTTGACTCTCGCTAACATCCCTGCTGTCAAATATACACGGCTCTTGCGATCACTTATCACATCCACCAATAATTACCGAGTTCCTCTCAGGTGAAACAGAGATGAGGTGTTCACAGTCACGACACCAATGAATACTACCTTGAATCTGTTGATTCACGCCTATACATGTCTGAAATTATCTTCAGCTCTTCTACACTTTCCTTTAGATCCTTGACCTAATAAAAGCAGCTAAAAAATTACTGGCCTGAATGAAACCAAGTAACAATATGCAAGTAAATAGCAGAAACACACCAAGATAAAAATAATAAATAAAAAACATAATAAAAGATTAAGGAAAAAATTATCAAAGCCCAAGCCTCTCCAAAATAACTAATAAGTCCATAAAATAAGATGACAGAGGAGAAGAGGATACAGATGAGATAAAATAAGAAAACAGAGAAGACGATACAGATGAGTTGACCATGTTGTCAAGAATCCTCAATAATCTCGAATTGGATTTTTCGTATGGTTGATATATCATGAAGCGACAGATTTTCGTTTCCCCATAAAATCCATCTATCATCACTTCTCGCCTAATAACTGAAGAGCTCATTCTTGTAATTTCAACAATGAGAAGAACAAAACTCCATACAAGCTTTAACTAGATCCTAATAAATCTGGAATTGCACAATGAAACTCGAAATCGTATCATTGCTTCAAGTGGAATCTTAGAGTGCGATTGGGAAGAAGAGATTTGTGTTGGCAGGCCACCTTTTCTTCTACGGGTAGTTTTGATAAGGAATTCTAACGAATCAATTTGACCCAATTGTTTCGTTTTGAGAGGCCAAATTGATTCGTTTGGCAGCACAAAATTTAGATGAAGCAATGATGCATAGAGAATTTCAAATTGACTCGTTTTGAGGCAATTATAATTGTCTGGGGTGGGGGCAGACAATTCGAATTGACTCATTTTAATTACTCAATGTCATAAAATGAGACAATTGGCCAAATTGTCTCGTTTTTCAATTGATTCATCCAAACTAGGGCTGAAAATTGGCCCGACCCGCTCCTGACCCTGTCTGACCCGCCCCTGAAGGGTCAAGATGTATAACTGACCCGCCCCGACCCTGTTTCTTTCATGACCCTGTCTGACCCTTTAGGGTCGGGGCGGGTCAGGAAGGGTCGGGTCAATGGGTCGACCCTAATAAATAGACTACTTTTCTAAAAATTACAATTTGGTACCCAAATTTATTTTTTCTTACATTTTAGTACCTAAATTTTATTTTTTTACAAATAAGTCCCTAAAATTTGATGGTAAAATTACATTTTGGTTCCCAAATTTTTTAATTTTTACAATTTAGTACCTAAACTTTTAAAATTTTACAAATAGGTCCAACGTGTTTGTATGATGCTTAGGGTCATAGGGTCAAAAAGTGACCCGACCCTAAATTGACCCGGCCCTATCTGACCCTGACCCGACCCTAAGCTGACCCGACCCTAAATTGACCCTGTAGACAAATTGACCCAGCCCGACCCTAAGGGTCGGGGCGGGTCGGGGCGAGTCGGTGGGTTTTAAGGGTCTAACTTACACCCCTAATCCAAACGACCCCCTAATTTCCCTGTTAAGGGATGATCGTAACCAAATTCTTATATCCCAAATGAAATTATCCAGGCATTCCTATAAAAAATGTGGCATCTTAGACAAATATCTAAAAAAGAGGGGAGGGAGAGAATATAGAAACACATGTACAGGTTATCACGAATATTCACAAGTGTTTAATCAGCTATGCTCTGGAACAAAAGTGTCCACTCGGCTGGTCTTTAGGGACATGATGAACATTGGCAGTGCTACATTCAGGTCAGATTCCCACATAGCCCTAAAAGTCGCACGCATAATCAGCCCAGAAGTGCAGGCTACTTTGCAGGTACAACTCACCCATTTTACGCACTAACTAAACCATCAATGGCAAGAATCGCAAATGAACATAAGCCATTCTTCAGCAGAATCTAGAAAGTCGCAGCAGAACATGATTTGACTGCAACAGCATGTAAGCAAATGGAAACATGTCTTACCAGGGACTGCAACTTTTCTATCTCAGAAACTTGATTTGTTGACCTCACGGATGAACTCGTATACTCCTTTGCCTATTCAGGAAACAAAACTTTCAGCCTCCTTTCACATCCAAACTTATAACACATAAGAAAACACCAACCTTCCTATCAAGAACTTCTGAAAGACTTTGCACATCAGCTCGCAAAGTATGAATATCTGAGGCAGCCTCTTTATAACTGCTTAATCGGCGTTGCATACCACTCATATCATCAGGGAACAATGACAGCAGTACTTTAAACTCTGCAATAACTTCCTTCCTCCCTACAACGAGGGAATTGTGAACAAAAAAGGAGTGTAATAAGGAAGCCAGTCCGGTGGGTTTCTGACAAGAATTCATAACTTGATATGGTATCCTCTTACCGGGTTCTGTTAAAGCCTCATCCAACTTATCCTTAATCATATTCTGTTCATTGATCTGTTTCCTTATCTCCGACTCTAACTCAGATAGCTTTGAAGAAGCAACTGCAGAATATCTTCGATAAACATCAAGCAAATCATTTTTTATGTTTAGTTCCCTTTCCCTCCACATAAGATTATCCTTTTCAACCTGAAACGTGCACAGAACATCTGCAGTCAGGCATAAGAGCTAAGCACATGCAAAGAGAAGAACAACTATATCATAAATGAAACTACCGACCAGTTACAACCTGTATTCTCTCAGAAATGGCCTGATATCGCGACACTTCTGATTTTGACTTTTCCAATTGATCTTTCACCAAAAGATAGGCATGCGAGGAAGAGATGCACTTAATATTCTTCAATGAGTTCTATTAGAAAAACATCTCAGTTAAGGAAATAGTCTAAGAGAATGAATTTGGTAACAGAGTATACTGCTTGCACCTAAACTGCAAGCAACAACTAACCTGTAGATCAGACAACTGCTCCAGCACTTTTATCCTCTCATTATGTAAAGCTTTTAATGCCACCAACCGAGAGGAAGCTTGTTCCTAAGGCGCACAGATGTCACCAACATGAGAATCTCTAAAGAGCAGAATTTTGACATCTCAAAGACAAAGATGGCAAATAAATAAAAGCCAGATAACTACCGAGACATCTTTGAGAGAAGATTCCATTTCATGAAGACCTTTCTGTTTCTCTCTACCCCTGTCACCACCACCATGTTTACTTCCTAGGTTTAGGACAGGAAATAACATCCCTTTTGTTGCATCTCCCTCCGCCTTGAGAGTTGCCATTTTGCATTTAGTGCCCTGTAACTCAATAACCGAAGTCTCCAATTCCCCTTTGTAGAAGGATATGAAAACAACAAAAAAGTGAAAATAATATTGATATGCAAAAGGATTTAAGAGAAAGAAATCCTTAAGGAAATTACACCCACACTATGAGTAACAGAAGTTCCAGAAGAGATGGCAGAAAGAGAGGATAGGAGGAACAGAAAAATACACAGACCCCACCTATGACCTATCAGGCACCAAGCAGGGGGGAAAATTATGTAAATAGCAAAATAAATTGATGGTTAACATATCAGCTGATGAAAACTAGAAGCTCATGGAGAATGGAGACATGTCAACTTAACGTAGTACATAGACCAGTTTCCAATCATATCAATGAATACTAAAAAAGAAATAAGTTACCAAGAGCAGTCGGAGATTGCAAATGCACAATGCTGCATGTCCTCTTGATGGAATATATCACGTACAATTTTTCCTATCTAATGGAAACAACATAATAGTGCTCGCAGAAAGACATCAGTAACCAACAACAACCAGAGATTGTACCTTTTAATTGCTTAAGCTGCACTTTATTCCTGATATCAGTATCCCGCTTTCCCTGCAAGTCCCTCGACAGTGACTTATGCCTTATATGAATGTCACTTAATGCTGATCTCAAATTCTTAACTTCCATAACTAATTTAGTAGACGACTTTTGCCTGCATGTACCTAGCAGAAGAAGTAGTATGGGAAACCAAGAAAACTCACATCACGAAGCCCACATTACCAAGAGAAACATGGCAGCAAAGTCTTACCATCATTTGGAAGTTCCTTCATCATTGCAATATGCAACCCATCCTTTACGCTCCAAAGTTCATTTATTGCAATCACTATATTTTCAAGGATATTCCCCAACTTATTTGAGGCATCCGGTCTTTCTTTGTCCATTGATAGAATCTCAACATTACCAGAAGCAGTTACTCTGCTTTGCTCCATCTGGTCGGGGATATTATTTGCAGAGCAACTATCAGTTGCACCTGTTTCCACGAGACGGTGGAGGAAAGTGTCCTCTGGAACAGCGGAGAACTCTTCTGTAGAACAATATCAAACACTGAATGAGAAAGAATTGAAGTATTTTGCCAATTCAAAATCCAGCTGCGGTACCAGAAATAGGCTCCATACCATAACTACAACAGACACTACTTTGTTCCGAGGTTTGTGACCCACTCAAGAAAATTAAATAAAATAGTTCCACCAGAATCACCAAGGGAAATGTAAATGTACCTGGATAAATACGAGATCCTTAAAGTTGTAGAACGTGTAGATACTAGAATTAGAATTGAAATTGTTGGGAAGTCTGGAAACGAAAATCCTAGGGACCTAAGTAGGAATTGGAGTTAAGAAATGGAGTTTTGTGGCTAATGGAGATTTAAACAAAACAGTATACCTTTCTCTATCCTCTTTCATTCTTCAGGCTTTATTTTGGAAGAACTTCATCCAGAAATTTGGATTTCACAATTTATTAACCGGGTGAACATCAAGCCAAAGAGGGGGTGAACAGAACAACAGAATATATTAAGGAATAGTACATCCCTCGGGGCTGCATATTCATTGGCAGATCAATGAGCCACTGCAGGGGCAGTGAAATATCTAATAAAAACAACAGCAAGAAGAGAAACAGGGACGATTATGGGAATGAAAAGAAAGAATATCGGTTGAAATTACTTCATTTTAAGCAAAAGTACGGCAAGGAGGTTTTAATACATCAGGACCATCCTGGGGCAGTGATGAGAGGATGGTCTATTAAAGATAAAACTAAAAAGGAGTACCATGAACACAACAGGTTGCTAATTGAACGTCCGAGATTTGTTTTTCATGGGAAACTTTATTGAATTCAGTTTCCTTGGGGTTGGCAACTGAGAAATTGAGAAGATAACAGGATGGGGAAGGCAGAAGAGGGCAAAAGGGAAGAGAAAGTTTTATGGCTACTTTCTCTTAAAATGCATCAATGAGAAAAAAGGATTTAACTTATAAAAATTTGGGAGTTATTTTAATTCCAAATACATTAGTCAAAAATGGAAATCTAAGAAACTGAGAAGTGAATTGCCATCCTCATCTAGTTCTGACAGGATAAGTTCTGAACTAGCTGTACGATACTGTAAAATCTTAGTATCCTTGGGACAGCATAATTCAACCCTCCCTTCCCTACAATAGTAGGAATTACCACACAACTAATACGAATGGATGAAACATGAGAATGACAAAAAACCATCAATCGAACATGCGAGTTACTCGTCATTTAAAGAGCAACTGTTTTTTTTTTTTTCCAACGAGATACTATTATTTTATTTTTTAACCACAAATGGAGTTACTAGTTCCCACCTTTTGTCAATGGCATTTTCTTGAACTCTTTACAACTACTTGATTCTCTGATCTGTTTGGAGTGTTTCTCCAAGTCGGAAACCAACTGTCACAAAACAGATAGTCAATTTCCAACCTATTAACAAGATAGGTTGCAAAAACTAAGACAACACCGTAAGTCAATTCATCTACGCTCATACAATTCAATAAATTTTCAAACTGGCAGTAAATCAACTAGAAATTACCACTTTCCAGGATTTACTGATTGCTTTTAATATGGAATCATAAGGCTGCTGTTTCTCCTTGAGTTGGGAGAACTTGCTTTCGGATGTGCAGTACTCAACTTTCTGAGCTTCTAACTTCTGTAGAAGCTTTTGATTTTGGAATTGAAGGACAGCAGTATCAAGCTGCATGAAAAAAAGGATGCACTAGTGAGCTAAGTTTCATAAGATCCTAGAACCTGTAAATCCCAAAAATATAAACATGAATGTTGCAACCCTGTCCACATTCACATATAGTATATATGTGAGTCGAGTTCTACAAATAATCAAATAGTCCCTCGAGCAAATGCACGACGACGCAAAAACAAAACCAAATTACCAGCATTTATAACCGAACTGTTTTTTAACTAGTGAAGTATAGAAAAAACAATACAAAGCTACGTAATACAACAGTTACTCCGCAACCAAAACTGAAAAGAAAGAAAAGGAAACCAATGAGAACCAGATACAAATTTTGCATTAACAAATCAAAGCATTAACAAGATACAACCCAGATGGCAGTTGTATAAAGAAAAACCAGATGAAAGAGAGCCAATATGCAGCCCGCCATTAACTCGAAGAAATATACGCAACATAGCACGATAATTAGTGCTTTACAAAAAGAAGCACCTCCCAGGACACAGCAAACTCATGTAAGTTAGATAACAACAGCTATCAATGGAAAACAGAATTATCAAAATCCCAATTGGATTAACAAGAGAGAGCCGACGAAGATTCATCCCGCACCTTTTTATCATCGGAGAAGTGCGAGAAGGGCTGCTTCTTAGCCATGACAGCCGTAGGCGACAAAGAACTAAAGTGACGCCGTTTTCGGTCTGGCTCACCAGCGCTCCCCATTGAAAACCCCTAACTCCACCACAACTACAGCCGCCGCCCCCACGCCCAACCGCCTCACAGGTCAGCTTTACTCACATCACACCGCAAAGGCCACAACTAAGACCTAGACCGGAACAAACTGCGAAAACTCCCCTGATGAATACCGTAATTCAAACACCAGATACACCTACACTCGCACCTAAACACAAAATTTTACTTTCCCTTCCTTTCCAAGAAGCCCTAATTTCCGAAACAGGCGGCCAATCGACAAGAGCTCCGGCGGAATATGAATTGAAACGAGGAAAATACGTTTCCTTGACTCCCTTCAAACGGAAACGAGATCTTCAGTTCTTCACTTACGGTGACCAAATGCAAGAACTCATCCTAGTTCAGAGAAGAGAAGAGACGAGACGGGAGAGAGTGGAATCGTGTAGTTTGGAGCTTTTTGTTTTTAACTGGCATAAAGTAGCATGGGATTGTGGGGACCACGGGAGGGGTAACCCGGGGAATTCAGACTAGCTTTGAGCCGGGCATACCAGTTTTTTTTTTTTTTAGCAATAGAAAACTGGCATTACCAAATCAAAGATATCAAAGTTTACAATTCAAAAAGAAATCATTAATCAAAGTCAAAACTCGCAACAACAGCAGATAACAAAGAGAAGGTTTTCCTGGCTACATCATGAGCCACCCGATTGTCATTTCTGCCAACAAAAGAAACACCAAAAGCCCGATAGTGCCGCCGCAACTCTTCAATTTCCGCAAGTATTCGCCCACCCTTCAAATCCCGAGCATCCCGACGCTGAATCTTCTCAATAACCCCCTTGGCATCCCCATAAAACCAAACTTCATCAATCCCCTTCCCTAAGCACCACTGGATAGCGTCCCGAAATGCAACTAACTCCACTAGAAAAGGATCAACAATACATGCGTAATAAAACCCCTTGACCATACACACCCGCCCCATGCCATCGCGGATAACCAAGCCCCCCGCACCATGAGATCCCGGCGAAACCGCCCCATCCACATGACAGGAAAACGGTAGCGCCAGCTGCGACTGGGCCGGACCCCGACCTCCTGCCGAAATTCGCCTCTACAGCATCGGTACTTGCCCCGGCTGGACAAACGCCAACCATTCCCGCACCTGCGCCTCGAACTGACGGACTAAACACAGTATATCATACTGCAAATGCTCAAAAACTACCCAGTTCTGGTTCTTCCAAATTCTCCAAAGCAAAGTCACCACAGGCACAATCCGCTCCGTGCCATCATCCTGCTCAACAACCCTATGGAAGAACAAAGCAAAATTAGACACCCCAGCCATCCCTTCCACACCTGTCACACCCGAGCGGTTCCAAAGGGCCGCCACAACTCTACAAGACAAGAAAAAATGCTCAAGGGTCTCCACCGGCGCCCAGCAAACCGGCCTTTTGGGAGAGAGTGTCTCTCCGTCTTCAGGAGGGTCGAGGACCTCAGTCGGAAGTTGCCCCTTCTTCTCAATGATAGCCTCTGCAGTGGGTAAAATACGCCTAAGGAGCTGCCACACAAAGAATTTCAACTTAGGAGGCAGTGGAAAACCCCACACTTTCTTCCAAAATCTCATATCAAAGAACGAACCCTCCTCCTTCCACCCCGGAGCTCTATAGCTGATCTGAAGAGCCAGATGGTAACCCGACTTCACAGTATACTCCCCATCTGATTCCCAAGCCCAAACACAACGATCTGGTACCTGCCGAACTGGCAAAGGAATAGAGCAAATCCTCTGCACCGCCGACTCAGAGAAACAATGTTGCAGACACTCAACACACCATTTCCCCGTACCAGGGATCAAGAACGACTCCACACGGGCATCTGCCAACACCGGGGCTAAGGGGAGGACAAAGCACTCATCACGCCTCACTCCTGGAATCCAACTATCTTCCAGCACCCGAACTTCTTTCCCATCTCCAATCTGCCAAACTAACCCTTGCTGCAATAAATCCCTGTCATGGAGCACACTAGTCCACCCCCAGGACGGTCTAGACCCACGCTTAGCTTGTAGTATCGAAGTCTTCGCAAAATACTTCCCCTTCAAAACCTGTGCCAGTAATGAATGCGGTTCCTGCCAAACCCGCCAAGCCACCTTTGCCAACAAAGCTTGGTTGAAGTCCTCAAAGCGTCTAAACCCAAGCCCACCATCGAATTTGCTACGACACAGGTTCCGCCAGGAAACCCAATGCGCCTTCTCCTTGTCCACCGAGTACCCCCCACCAAAAGCGAGCCATATGATTGTCCAATTTTCGACATAAGATCACTGGCAAGAGAAAACAAGACATAACATAAATTGGGAGCGCAGCAGCTACCGCTTTAAGCAGGACCTCCTTTGCTGCCCACGACAAGTGCCTCTGCTTCCATCCCTGAAGCTTTGCAAATAATCTCTCCTCCAAGTATCGAAATGTCTCCACCTTAGACCGCTGCACTAGAGTGGGCAGACCCAGGTATTTGTCTTGAACTCCTACAGCCCCAACACCAAGCACTCCCGCCATCTCCTCTGCCTCCAGCGGGTCCACATTCCCACTAAAACATATTGCCGACTTATTCAAATTAACTTTCTGACCACTCAGCTCTTGATACATTTGCAGCAACTGCACCAATGTTTCACACTCCTGCCTAGACGCTCTCAAGAAAAGGTATGAATCATCTGCAAAAAATAAATGAGAAATGCTAGGGCATCTTGGGTTCACCTTAACCCCCACTAGCCTTTTCTCCGAGGTAGCTAGTCTCAACAATGCCGCAAATCCCTCAGAAAAGATGGCAAACAATAACGGAGATAGCGGATACCAGTTGGCCTGAACAAAAATAAATAATGCTATGAGTTTTTCTCCGAGCATAATTTAATTGTTTTATATAAAATTGAATGATATTGAAAAATAAATTTTGGGTTTTGAAAAATAATAAATACGAGGTTTTTCAGTTCATTATGAATTTTATAAAGTTCATTGTTTGTTTGATGGATTTCTTGATAAATTTTGTTAATTAAATTTGTATATATGAAGTGTAATTTGCCTTTATTGTTCTTAATGATATAAGAAGAGAAAGAAAATATGAGGGATATGTTGGTTAAAAAATGAAGGACTTCAAAGTTCATGATCAATTCTCACCTAAGGAGGTGGAATTTTCGGCCTTGTTTGCTTCAGGATTTTCATCATGGATTTGGTGCACAAAACCCAAACCTCATGGACTTGGAACAAAATTCATTGTTTGCTTCAAGGTTTTAGGTGAGATAAATCTATGGGGCCCATAGACTTTGATGGTACAAATCCGTGAGCACACGGACTTGCAAATTACATCCCAATGTGTGGGATTTGGGTGAGGGTGGGAAGTCCATGATGGGACTTTATTCTTTTATCCCCACTCATTTTATTAATGATAAATTTGTCCTATTTATTTTTGCTAACCCTTTAGACTAGAGATAACGAGAGACCCGGGAAAGAGTGGAAAAACATGAAGGAAAAACACGCAAAAGATGGTGGAATGTGCTTGGACTTAACAAGCATCAATTTGTGAGTAAAATAAAGACGAAAATTCTATAATTGTAGGGTACATCAACTAGTTTAATGATATGTGGTAAGTTGTATTGCTTTTTGGAGTAACTGGGTATTGGTTAACAAACTAACAATGATTGAAGCACTTTGTTTAAAACTAAAGATTAGTTTATGCTCAATATTTCAAATCTTCTATTGATTTCATGTTTGTTTGCATATATGATAGCTTTGAGCTCTTGAAATCTTGGAAAGGTACGAAGAAATTCTAAACGGTTTTGTTTATATGGAAACAATAATATACAAATAATTATAAACAAGGGCAACAAGGTCAATGGTATCTCATACCCACTAATATATTTCAGCAAAATCCATCATGAAATCCAACAAGCAAACAAGGTTTTGGTCCAAATCCATAATGGTCCAATTCCATAATAAATCCTTGGTTTTATAAAATCCAGGTTTTAACCAAAACCTTCATTTTTCAAATCCATGAAGCAAACGAATACTTGAAGCAAACAATGGATTTTAGACAAAGTCCATCATGCATCCAAATCCATCAAGCAAACAATAGTGCAATGACTTTGGAAAATAGGAAGTGTTCAATGAATTATGTTAGTTAGTTGTGTATTGTGATATAGAACCTAATGATATTGGTACAGCTTAGTAACTCTAATGATAGAAAAGTAACTTGTGAATACGCTATCGTGAAGCTTTTTTCTTTTGTTCAATATTTTTCAAAATAAATATCATTGTGTAGAACACATAAAATTTGATTTTTTGGAACAAAAATACTAAATTCATAGTTAAAACGAAACAAATATGGCCCGAGAAAATGAAGAAGAAGAGAGAGTTTGTTGGATGGCTACAAAGAAGTAATAAAAGGAAAGAAACAAAATGAGTTACACGCAGTTTTTGTGTAAATTGCAAGGTTGGTCACTATACGTACTAAAAGATTCACATTTGGTCACTAAAAGTATTTAATTCCATTCATGGTCATTGAAAGTAGTTAAACGTTTCACTCTTAGTCACTTTCCGTTAGTCTCTGTCACATTCCATTAGCACCGTCAGTCTTTTGCTTATGTGGCTAACAGAAATATCTAGTCAGCATATATTAATCCAAAAAAATTTATACTCAACCCGCCACATCATCAAAACCAACCCAACCCATAACCTTAACCAGCGAGCCGACCCATAACCCATAACCCACTCCCCTTTCTTCTCCGCTGACCTCCCCATGCCGCTGAACGAAACGCCGACTGCTCCCTCAGTCGGTCAGTCCCTTACTCCTTCAACAATAGTACCTCCTTTGACCTCTCTCTCATCCCCTACTCGCCTCCGGCCAGTGGCTCCTCAATCACGAAGGAAATCGGCAAGAGCGCTCGCCTGACTATTTACATGCCAAGAGTTCCATTTATTCTCGCCTATGCCTCAGTGATGGAGGTCGTTCTATTTTGACGGAGCAGCCGGCGAAGAACACAAAGGAAGTAGAAGGGTCTCGAG